CACACACACACACACACACACACACACACACACACACACACACACACACACACACACACCTGTTAAACAGCCTGAGGTATTTCGTCTTATTATATCTCATAATTTAGTTGTATCAATCTGTCGCACTTGTTAGAAGCTTGGAATGGCACGGCTTTATTGTTAACCAGCTGGCTTAATGGTTTAATTTGCATTTCTTTCTTTTTTAAATTTATTTATCATCCTGATGGTGGTTTTTCCAGTTTCAGTGAATGATGTTGGCTAATTCGTTGGTCTCACTGACTTGCAGGGCATATATTGAAGCAACAAGCAAAAAAAAAAAAAAAACAGCTTCTTTCTATCAAAGAGATTTTTTAATTACGATCTTCAGTGCAGCATTTGTTCAAAGCTTCTCTGTCCTGCATGTGTTGCTCCTAAGATGGCTCTTTTAATCTATTTTCTTCTCAGCAGAGCCCTGCAGTCTCTGCTAATGGCCTGATTTTGTATGATTTTGCAAACACTCGAATATGTGATGTCCTATTTGTTTTCTTTGGTCATATAAACCTAAACAACCCAGGCTGGATTTATATGCAGTTATTCAGCTATGAGTTGCTCTAAGATTTGAAAAAAATAAATAACTAAAAYTATCACGTGGTGCTTTATTGTCTGTGGTGCATAATATTGCTTTATAGATGGTGTGGTTTTAGATAACTGTGCCTAAACACACACTTATTATTGTCCTCTGATCTGTGCAGTTACTTCCCCTTTAAATTAATCTTGTCACAAACATTTTTTGCACCATATATATAATATTGTGAGCATTTATTCAAAGATCTAAAAAAGTAAAGGCACGTTTTCTGTATTGCATAAAATATAAAAACAGAAATGTTTTATAAAAACTGCACAGTCTGAGCAGGACACGCCTCATGTTTCATACGTGCGTTATAGTGAGAGTGAACTCCTAGGAGTCCATGCTGTGTTTTTTCAGTCATTCAGAAGCACCTTTTTTTTCTACTGGTCACTGCTCTCCTGCAGATGCTGCAGATGAGAAGACTGTTAGTTGAAGTGTGGGGAAAAACAGCTTCCTGGTGTCCAAGTAAAGGCATTGATGCCAGTTTATTTTTAGGAAAACATTGCATTGCAACGCAGTGAACATCATGGCACCACAGTGGTTAGTGCTGCCTCCTCAACAAGGCCGTGGTTTTACGGATAAAGCAAAACAAGCACGTTAAAGGGGACACATCCTGAAAAATTCACCTTTTTAGCCGTTAAATGTATTTTGTTGTGGACTTGGAGAGTCTAGGACTGCAGAAAATTTGAATTCAGTCTCTCTTGGTGCTGAGTAGATACCTCCATATTTTGTCTTTGTTCTCTATGATGTTTTCTGAACTATTATGTCACAATGTTTGCGACAGAACTTCCGGGTATGGACTTAACCAACTAATAGCCTGGCCCTTGCCTTCCTACACAGTTCCGCTCAATCCTAGTTTCCCTTCCCTGCTCTGTCTGGGATTTCTCCCATRGACGAGGATTTCTTCTGTAGATTTTCAACCGGGCCAATCAGTGAACAGAAGGAGGGGTTGTGAATGACAATGCCAATTTTTTGCACCGTTTCAGTCTGCCTGTAGTTTAGCAATGGCAGCGGAGGAAGTGAAAGAAGCCAGTCTTGTGTTGATAAGGCTTCCAAACTAAATTAAATTTGTCTCACAAAGCCTGCAGCTCTCATTTACAGCCACCTCGTTTAGCTCGGTACTTCGCTCTTCCCAGTAGGAGATGATTGTACAGCTCACATAATTTCCAGTTAGCTTCTTAGCTTCTTAGCTTAGCCTCCTTCACGGTGGAGCTGGCGCACTACGTATATCACGGCCAAACATTAGCGATTGGGTAAATCAGATCCAATCATTTTAAACTTCAACAGAGTCCACGCCTCCAGCAACAAATTGTTTCTCAATAGGAGAGAGTCCAGACCATAGACTTGAATAAGATCACTAGACTGAGCCTCACCCATACCGTCCACTGGTAGCATCTGTGACAGCATGGAGGAGCAGAAATGGTGTCAAAACAGGACAACAGCTCACAACCTCCATAGAAATTAATACATAAACAGCAGCTGAACCGGATCTGTTTCACAGATTATCTGTCATGTTTTTACAATAAATTAATAA